CAAATCTCATTTCATTTCTTGGCAAATAATCAAGCAATAGTTATCAATGATTCTTTGTTCATGGAGGTAGCAACAGCATAGGTGCCCAATGTAGAATATGGGCTAGAAAGAACCAACAGTGAAGTTAGAAACTGATTAAGGGTTGAAGAGGATTTTTTTTTCTCAAAGTCTTGGATTGGATTAATGGTCTTCTGAAATTTACTTTTCCCAAAAAAAACCCTTAAGTTTAGGGGGTTTTGTTAAAGTTTATGTTTATTGGGTTTGGGGTGGGCTTTTTTTTTGGGTGGTGGAGATCCAATATTTCAAACCGTGTGAATTCAAATTTGGAGTTATTTTTCAGAGATGGCATCTTGGTCATTTCACCGATGACCGGAAATGATAGAGGGAGACGGTTGAAAAAACTTTAGAGTTCAGGGGAGTTAAGTGAGACACCCTGAAGTTTATGGGTTCTTACTATCGGAACTGAAGGAATTGAAATTTGGGGTTAATTTTCAGAAAGGGCATCTTGGTCATTTCGTCGTTGACTGGAAGCAACGTCAAGGGGTCAGTTGTAAAAACTTTAAATTTCAGGGGAGTTAAGTAAGACATCCTAATAGGAGGGTTAAGTAGAATAAACAAAATTGAGGGGGTTATGTTAAAAACCCCTAAAGTTCAGGGTGTTGAGTGAAATTTACCCTATAAATAATGGTGCAAAGAAGGGCCTATTGCAGCTAATACACCAAAGATTGACAATACACATGAGAAATTTCATAAATTTATGTGGAAATACGTCTGTTTAAACTTAACTGAGTTTGTCAGAAATCAAATTAATAGTCACTGTAGTATAACTTAATGCATGCTATTAGTCTCCTATCAAATATGAACAGTGGATTTTTGCTAACTTGTGCACGTTTATAAAAGTGATTATGTGCATATGTGCTGTATTTTCTCACTGGAACTGAAACTAGAAATGAAACATTTTAAGCTAAAAAGTCTTCCAAAAACCTACATACAATGATGTCACATTCTCAAAATCTGTAGCCGAAACCGGAAGTTAAACCCAGTTTCAGACCTTGCATAGGAAAGAAGTGACAAAATATAGAATAAGATTCAGGTGAAAATGTATGTCGCTGAAAAAATGAAAAAAAAGACTATTTCACCAAGGCTTAACTTTTTAGTCTTGACCTGAAATCAAATGTGCATATCAGCCTAATACAAATGTTAAGAATACCATCTGTTTATTGGAATTATTGCTGCATGCTTTGTAAGCTTTCTGTGTCAGTTTCTTCTGTAAACCATGACAATTTGGCTTGTTTGACTTTTTTCAAGTAATGTATCTCTGGGCATCAACAGTTTTACTTTGGTGTCGATACTGCTATAAGTAAAACTTCCCATTCCACTTTATTGCTTCCCTAAAGTATTCTATGTTTATATAAGCTCACCCACTTCGTAAACACATGCATCTTCTCATTAATAGGATTGTTCTCCAGGGTGGGTAAGATGTATAACCAAGATCCAATTGCATAAAGAAGCTTCATCTTGCTTATCCAATGCACAATACAAAATATCGTTAGCAGGATTTTCTCCAAGGGGAAAGATGTGTTTTAAGCAATTGTATGAAGAACCTGGAATCTGCCTTGATAAAGTAGGATTTTCTTTATAGGAAAAGCATGGGGAAATATCAAGTATAGTGCATGCATGTAAACTGCATCCTTTTGCGTCAGTCATCTTATACATTAAAAACTGTGTCTGTGATTTCATGAAGAATTTCTTTAAGATTATAAAAGCGGATTTATAAATATTAAATTCTTTGACGTTATAAAAATCTTGTATATTATTGATCAGAAAGTGAACAGACTTGCTTGAACAATATCTTGTTGAACCCCCTATGGAGAGGAATCGCGTACAAGTTCTTTTATGGTTACATATCAAGATGTCATTCCTGTTTCACCACATATTCCTGATTGTTGTGCTTTTCAAACTCTTTTCAGGTAGAGGAAGATTGTAGCCGCAGCAGTGATGCCCGAAAGTAGTTTGATCATGAACACAAGTCTTTTCTCCATGCTCGAAGCCTCATTTTCCAATGAAGGCTATAACCTAACAAAAAGCTCGGACAGCACTGATGGTAAAGACTAAAAATTAATTCCTGTATTCCTATTCCTTCTTAATATACTTTTGTAACATTTTATTTGCCAGGAAGCAAGACATGTACATTTTACAGTCGAGCTCAAAAAAGTATATGGATTCTGCCTCTTCTTCGATAACAGAGGAAACACCATATGTAGCAGTAGTCAGCAATTAAAATCTGACAACTGCAAGCGATCAGGACTTCAATTACACGAAAGAAATATTACTGGATTCAGACCTACATTTTTTGGTCCTTGCTGGTGAGAAACTGAATCTTCTTCTTTTCAGCAAGTTGGAAACTAAGAGATGGAAGCAGGATAAAGATCGTAGGTTGAGGAGAAAAGTGTTGTTTCATGGTGTAGTTGAGTGTTTAGAATTAAAACACAACAGATACTTCAGGGCTGGCTAGCGATCGTGGTTGAAATGTGAAGCGGTCATTGGGAAGGAGAGTTTGGCCGAGGAGATATATGATGAGATCTCACGGTGGGTGAACATGGGAGATTGTGACGTAGATGAACTAGTTTGCAAGGACATTGAGTGCTCACTTGGGTAAGTGGGTACATTACGAGACAGAAGCGTTTAGATCTTGAACAGAGATTGAGAGGGAGATTGTAGATTCATCCATTAGTTGATGAACTGATGACAGATTGCCTGTAAAACAAAAATCCTTGCTCATAAAACAAAAAGTTTCCTGTTATCGGTGTTAGTTTTAAGTTATAACCTTCATCTGAGTTACAAAGCATGTACCTTGTTCTGGACTATACAAATTTGTTAATGGAGGTAAGGAATCACTTGGCTGGAATTTTATTTTATTTTTATTTGCCTCCGAGTATTCTACATGAATCCTAGCTAAGACAATTAATGGAGGTGCTTATATTTTGCTTC